TCTTCTTCTTCTTCTCCTTCTTCTTTATTGCTTTTATGAATTCTTTTAATTTGTTTAAGCCAGCTATGTCTGGCTAGTTTGTTTTCGTAGTTGGGATCACAGACCCGATGTGAATCCTTTATATTTTATGTATTGATATTTTATAAGTTAATTAGTTAGTTTGTTTTATTCTACCTGATTTAATTTTTCATATCTTGTTTAGAACTGATCACTCTAAATTATAGGGCTTTGAGGGTTAGGACTCACAATAGACATATTGAGGTTTTAGTCTGGACAATGGTAGAATAATAATTTGTTTATGATCTAGACATAGGCTTACATAAATTGCAGACTCATAATTCATTTGCTTAATGCTTAATTCAAGAGGGATTACTAAGACATTAGGATTCTAATTGGATTAAAGGGTTGAAATCATTAAGACATTAGGGTTCAACTATTTTATAGGGAAATAATGAATTGTCTGAGCAAACGAATTAATTAATTATAAAATACAATATAGGAATATAAGGGAGGATCAGAGGTGAAGTGCATCCTGGCTACATCCTTTTTATAAATTTTTCATCAATACTTATTGCGTTCTTGATCCTTCCTTAAGGATCATAGCAATATTTTTCTCCTGTTTCATTAGATAAATCATAGCAATATTTTTTTAATAGGTAAATATTATATCGTTGATGCTGGATTCATGTTGAGAAAGGGGCTGATCACACCTTATAGATCAACACGCTATCACTTGAAATAATTTTTCTCAAGAAATTTACCTCGAACACCTTATAGTTTTGTTTACTTATCTGTATTTTTGTGCAGGCATGACTACTTTGGGTATGGCCAGTCATAAAGGAAGGTGTGTACAATTTAATAATAAGAGAAGTAATATAGAAAAGTAGTTTTAAGTATGCCATTATGCATGTAATTCTTCAATTTCAGTTGAGTGATAATTATGAGGTCTAAAATCAGAGCCTTTTCAAGATTACTACACGCTGAGAAATGTATTATGTCTAGAAAGTAATGCTTGTTTGTGTTTTGTATAATATTCAAGGACTGGTGAGGTGCATCAATATCTTGTATATTGTAATACTCTGATGGATGATTGCTTTGTATGAAAGAATTTGTCCTTGCATACAATCATTAGAAGTTCCTAGAGTTGATGCAATCTTGTAAAAATACCTCAAATGAAACTTCTGTGTAGAGAAAATTGTGCTTGAAGGATAAACATTTGATTAAAGAAATTTGTTACTATCAATCATAAGTTATAAATGCTGTGATTCTTAACTGTACTCTGATGATTGTAACATCGGATTCAAGTTATTACATTACTCAAGAACTTATTCAATATAACCTTTGTTTGTGTTTTGTAAAATAAAATCCTGAAGATTTTTTTTTATTCTTATGATGTCTATACTATTCTAGTATTCTCTGCTCCAACTTCAATCATAAAACGGGTGCTGAGGATGTACATTTCACAGCTTTGTTCTCTAATTATGAATCTGACAATGACATTGATGGTAATATTATTGACGAGGGGATCATTGATGAAGAAGCTCTGGCTCAAAATTCCTCTATGGATATGACTGAGTTTAAATAGTGAAAATTGTAGTTGATTACTGTATTTAAACCTTGTTGAATAGTTGATTGTCTATCTGTTGTTTTCCTTTTCCCTATAATGAATCTATTGAATTTGAAAAGATTTCCCCAAAACTTTGAGCCTCTCGTCAATTCCCATCAACTTTCAATTTTGATTTATGGATATGTACGATTTTACTGCTAGGGGTTCTAATAATCCGACTATACACAAGCATTTTTCATTAGGATAATAAAAATTACTTCTTGGCATAAAGATTTTAAAATAACAAATCCCATTCAATCTCAACTAGTGATGGAATCAGCATAATTTTATATTTTACCTTTTAGTTTGCAATTTCATATACTTAAATCATTATGTACTAAAAATATATATATATGAATCATTAGGTCTCAAGAAATATATACATCATATATATAAAAGTGAAATAGACTATTTTAGAGAGAGAGAGAGAGAGAGAGAAAATAAATTTTTAGAGATAAAATGTTTTTTAAATATAAAAATTACGTAAATATTTTTTTATAATAATTAATTTTATTTGTAAAGTATAATAATTATATTAATTTTTAAAGAAAGAGTAAAATGATACAAATATCTTATTAATTCAATTTTCATCCTTTACCATTTTTTTAACTCCCAAACAAGAGAAGAGAATACCCTTCATTTCCCTTCCCCTTGGATTCCTTTGCTTCCCCCACCCTTCAAACTCTCAATCAAAGCCTAAGGGCTACTGCAAATAATTATAGATAGACATGTCAAGAGAGTTGCTTAAGGGCTTGTTTGGGAGTTAATTTTAGGATGGAAAGGAAAGGAAGGGAAGAGTTTTATTAACCCTTCTCTTGTTTGTAAGTTTAAAAAAGTGAGGGAAATGAATTGAAAAATTTCATTGAAAACGTGATCTTTTTTAGTAGTGTGAAAAGTATATAAATTATTTTTTTAGAAATTTTATATTTAATTTCAAGGGATAGGTTATTCTACGTACTTTTTTCTGCCTACCACTCTAAAACACCGTTAGATCATAATCTCAACTATCATTTATCTTTCTCTCTTCTCTTGAGATTCTGATCTAATGATGTTTTAGGGTGGTAGACAAAGATAGGCAGAAAAAAGTAGGTAGAATAACCTATCCCTAATTTCAATTGTAAAATATAGTAATTATGTTAAATTTTTAAAAAGGGTAAAATTGTAAAAATATCTCATTAACCCTTAATTTTTTTTTCCTTACCATATTGTTAACTCTCAAACAAGGGAATAAAATACTCTTACGGGGGTGTATTGGATTAGAATTTTAAAAGACTTTTTTGAGCTAAATTTTTTTATAGATTTTAAAAGACTATTTAGAATTGGAGAGACTTTAAAGACTTTTTTTACAATCAAGATTTCATAAGATTGGATTTTAAAGGATTTTAATAGAATTTATAAGATTTGAAAGGACAATATGGATTTATAAGATTTTAAAAAACCATATGAATTTTTAACAAACATTTAAAATTACAAGAGTCAATAAAAAAGGAAAAGATTATACTTACAGCCTATTTTTGTTTACCACATTTTACAATCATATCTTAACCGTTGATTTCCGTCAATCAACAATTATCATTCATTGAAAATTAAATATTAATTAATGAGTTTGATTTGCGAAAATAATAACCGTTGATTGACGAAAATCAACGGTTAAGATATGGTTGTAAAAGGTTGTAAACAAAATTAGGTTGTAAGTATAATTTTCCCCATAAAAAAATAACAAAGAAATGTAATGAAATTAATACAAAAAGTAAAACCTAATATAATTTTCTAAAGCAGTAAAATATAATATAACTTTTAACAAACGTTCAAAATTACTAAATAACAACTTTTCACATATCTAATGGGTAGAAAATTATCTTCTTCATTTGGTATCAAATCTATGCATATATGATTATAAGACCCAATTTTTTTAATTATAAAAATAATTCTAAATTTGCATATAGAACCTAAAGCTCATGATAAAATTTCGTTTGGAATTTTTTGCATTTTTCTTGAAAACCTTGGGGTTTTTATTTTACGTGATGAGAGTTTTCTAACCATATATCATATGCATATTTTCATTGAATATTCTAAGAAAATTTTGAATATGAAATTTTGGGTTTAATTACATGAAAGTTTAGAAAATTTCTCATATTTTTTTCAATCGATACATTGAAACCTTAAATTGCTTTGGGTCTTTTGAGAAAAAAGCTTTTAGTTATCTATTGAAAATTATTGTTAAGGAATTCGTTCATGAATGTATTGTTAAGAAATATAGGGTTCATATTATGAAAGTTCCAATCTTTCTTTAAATTGATATTGTTTCATTGATATAAAATGAAAATTAGTTCCCTGTTATTTTTTCACTGTTTTATGTTGTTTTTAATACAAAAATCACATGTTTTTGTGCCAAGAAAAATCGTGACCCATAGCTTGAAAAATCACTTTTTAAACTTCCAAAATTTCTCAAAAATATGTTATTTTGAGATAAATTATATTAAAATCTCGTTGGTTTGTTGTTTTTAGGTTGTTTTGTGATAAAATCGCTCAAAAATATACTTTTTTTTTTTTAATTTTGACGAAGCTCCCATGGCATCCTAGGGGTTAGGGTGAGATTGTGAGAGAGACATCCTATTTATATTTTTCACTAAAAAGTTTCACGGAATTCTCACCAATAAAAAATTCATTAAAATCGTCGGAATTTTGAATACCACGAGATTGTGATTCCATTGTTTAAAATACTGATTGAATACCAACAAATTTGAATGGATTCTAAAATAATCTTTTAAAATCCTAATCGAATACCAACGAATTTTTTTGTTCAAAAACAATCTACTAAAATTCTTTGAAATCTCAATCCAATACACCTCCTTAATTTCCTTTCCTTTCTCTTCTTTTCTCTCCAAACTCCAAACAAAGCCTAAGGAGATGGCTGATGATGCAAGGATTCAACATGGGCAACATAAGGGTAAAATTGACAAGTTAATTAAATTACTAACGATGTTAAATGTAATTATAATTACATTTAAAGTTTTGGAAAAGGTCATGCAATATTGTTACGTGGCTATTATAATTATTATAATAATTATTATTATTATTATTATTTGGGTTTGCTTTTCTTATAGTGAATGTAGATAAATTATCTACATGGAGTTCAAGATAACGTCGTTTTGAAGCAAAAATTAAAGTATTTTTGTAATTATAATTTATTTCAGGGTTATAATAATTTTTTTGATTATAATTTTTTTCCAACCCAAAACGATATCGTTTTGAGAACGAATGTAGATAACTTATCTATATTCATGTTATAAACATTAAAACCTTATTATTATTATTATTATTTATAAACAGAATCAGAATATCAAGTGCGATTGAAATGGTCTTCACAGTTCACACTGTTCACTGACAAAGTTGAAGAGCACAAACTTGCAAAATCGGAAACTTTTCCATCAATGTTGTCTCAAATGCAATCGCGGTCTCTGGGCCCTTTCAACTTCAACAAATTCCCAATGCCCACGAAAATTCCCGCCTCTCTCGCCGCTTCACGTGCTCCGTTCTCCATTAGTGTTAGAAGCTCATCCAATTTGCCGCCGGCTGCCGGCGATTCAATTCCGGCGCCATTAATCTCAGAACAGCTTACACTCACTTCGCCGCAACCTACGCAACCGCTGGTCACGGCAGCTCCGCCCATTGCGGTGGCCAGAAATCTAGGGCTTCGGCCAACCCCTGAATTGGGGTTTCTCTCTCACTTGTTCGTTCTCTCCATGGTACTGTAATCATTACCCATTTTTCTCAGCAACTACGGTTAAAAGTTGCATCTTTAAGCGTTTTTGTCTTTGGGTAACCGAGATGGTTTTCTTTTTCGCAATCAAATGAACTAAATCCTTAGCTTGTGCTTTTTGGGTGTGTAGGCTGTTGGTGCATTTTTCTCAGTGGCTGTGGTTTCAATTCCAACCTTAATTGTAAGTTCACACACACACACACATACACATGTGATTGCAAATGTCAGTGATGTGTTGAATGACTAATGTTCAAACAGTTGTTGTTCATTTCTTGCACAGGCTTTTGGAAAATTGGGAGCTTCAGTGAAGAAATTGTCTAAGGTTGTTTCAGAAGAGGTACCTGGAACTTTGTCTTCTCTCAAACTTTCTAGTATGGAGCTGAACGATTTGACACAACAACTTAGCAGTCTCAGGTAACACTATTCCATGTTTTTATTGCTTATTTGTTTCTTCTATATGGTTGCTTCTTGTTAGTCTATCTTTGACCATGTTATGTCAACGTTTTTTAGGCATAAAATTTCCAGTGTTCGCTTAGGAAAGAAGGACGGAAGCACTACTAGCTCGAGATCCTTTCGCAAGAAGAATCCAGCAGCCTAACATTGCTAACACTGCTAGGTCCGTTAGCATTTTGTTTCTGGAATTAACCTTTGATTGTTTGAATGGAATCACTGAATAGGTGTATGGCCTTTTTATTCACATGGTATCCATTGAAATTACAAAATCAGATGGAACCACTGTCATTTTTTAGTTTGAAGCTGCCGTTCCAAAATAATGAGAAAAGCTGCTCAATGAGGGTTCTATGTTGATCCTGAGGATAGGTAAATTACTGGCATTGACGTAGTGTTGGATCTTGTGATTGAGCTGTTGGGTTCATCTGCCATGTGTAATATGAAACATTTACAGGTATAAGATAGATTATACTAATATTACTATACTTCCATTTTAGCTACGAAGTCTGTCGTGGTGTACATATTGAAGTCTTAGAATCTTGATCTGTATATATCTGAATCATTGGGTTATTGTAACTCCATTCAAGCAGAATTTGAATTTACATTAAATAAAACTTTAAATATTTACAGTTTTGCATACTTCTTTAGCTTTTCACCAGCATCTTTTGCATGATCTGGGACAGGCATGTTACTTAATAGAGTTACCCGAGAAGATGATACCAGTGATCTATTTTGTGAGTTTGATGGATCAATCTTCCAGATTCTCACCTCCCACACCTGCTACAAAGAAAACTGTTATGACATGCTTTTTTCACGTTAGTAAGCCTCAACAATAACAAAGGGTAAACAGAGTCTTGTTTTTAGGGATATGTGAGTGGGTAGTTTTGTTAGCAGATAAGTATCATAGTAGTGGGTTCTTTTATTTCTGTTTTATTCTGTTTATTCATTTTGTGGAATAAAAAAGGGATTGGAGAATTAGTTTTTGCACTTGTGTGCTTTAGGCAAAGCTTCCTCAATAGAGCTCAACTTCACTTCTTTAACATAGGCCTCAGAGGGAAACCCGTACCGCTTGTTTTTATTAATTTTTTTGGCTTTTTATGGTTGCAAATTTAACCAACAAATATTTAATAATTACTGTATCTTGCAGTTTCTACTCCACTGAATATTTTCTCCCAAGGGTAGTGGGTTGGTGAATGCCCATGTCAAGCAGAATGAAGCTAGTAATGTCTTCAAGCCCATAGATATTATTGATACTGAGATTTCTGTCTCTACTGTAGCTTAAAATTATCCATGAACAGAATAAATTTTGGATGCTAACTCTTAAGAATGTGGAAAAACATTGGTTGGGCTTAGGTCGGAGTGAAAGCAGGAAGGAGGTAAATGAAAATGACCACACTATTCTCCAACTTCTCATTTCTATCCAATTAAACCTTAGTAGGGATTATTTGAATATCGCTTGATGTGGTTTGCCATTATTTGCCAAGTTTTATTATATGATTTGGGTTTTAGACTGATAAGCCCTTTACTGTTAATGATCAATTTATTGTGGGTTGAAAGAGAATGGAGGAGAAATCAATGGTGAAGATTCCTCTTAGAAACATAAAAGAATTCTTACGTAGGAATTTTTCCATTTAAAGACTATTAAGATCTTAATAAAACAATGACTCTTACAGGTTGTTGAGATTTTTTATAAAAGTAACTTGTGATGGGAGGCTGTTTTTAGATTATTACTATTGATAGGCTAGGGCTCCTCTATAGGTATGTGCAACAAGAGTGGCAATTGGATCCACTCATCCCATGCACTCCATATTTGAATCCAAACAGTCCTGTCAATTATAATAAATTTTATGGATTGTATAGACTCTGCTAATTTTAATTAATGGATGGTTAATAAATCATTCAACATATCCATTGGGTAACCAATGACCAAGTGTTAGTGTGAGATCAATCTATTTGCCACGAGATCAAATTCTTTGTAAGAGAGAGCGAGGAGGCGAGGAGGGCACATGAGAGGGATGAAGGGAGGGCAAGTGGGTGAATTGAATGTCCATCCCCATTAAAATAGATTAATGGATGGATTATGTTTTAATAATGATTTAGTAGACGCTAAATGGATTAATGGTTTATTCTTTAACCATTCATGATAATATAATTCAAAATTCATTCAATCCGTATATTTGTCACCCACCTGTGTCAGATCTCTTGTTTGTTCCATAGATAGCCTCTTGTTAAAGGAAGATATATAGAACTGAGCTTAATTTGTTCACGCATGTTGTTATCATTATCTCAATTCTACATCAGTGGAGAATACAGATACGTTTCTGCTTTCTAATCGCAAAGACATGATAGATATTCTGTAATTCTTGTTAGGTATATAATGGTTTAATATTATCTTACAGAAACTAAAGATAAATTGTAAGAAACATAATATGGAGAGAAATAGTGATATGGAGAACACCTGAATGGTTCTGCCGATATTTAAAGGGGTAGCTTCCGCATGGACCAAGTCACCCATCTCTGCTCGTTTCAAATGGTTGATGCTAAGTTGAATTCCAGCCACTCTTTGATAACCAGAAGCCATATGAGCTCCCATGCTTGCCAGAGACTCTGCTATCATTGCTGATACCCCTCCGTGAAGCACCTTAAATGGCTGTCCCATGCACAATCAAATTACCCTTAGATCGTTAATTCCTCTTGTTTATTTCTCGAGATAAAAAAGCATGAAACTTTTCCAAAACATTCATAAACCAAAGAGAAAATACTTGTTATTAAGAGACAAAAATGCAACTAGGTTGACCTGGCAGCACTTCTGTGTAACATGGAGACGGCCAGAAACTCTCTCTGGTGATAAGTTTTCAATCTCAAACCCAATTGAATGAAGGGGAACATCCAAGGCAGCAGTCTTTGATGTTGCCGATGATGATGGCTGGTCCTCCATGAACAAATTGGACCAAAGGCTATACTTTCTCTTCTTTCGCTGATTTTGTTGCTATTTTTCGTAAGGGTAACAAGCCAATTTTGAGGCTTTGTAATATGGGAAGGTGTTCTAAAATGGATTGAAGAAACATTGGAAGTCGTTGATCCAGAGGGTATTTTAGACCATTCAAATGAAATGAAAGGTGAGTTGGTGAGTGAGGTTTTGCATGTTGATAAGTCTTCGGGTGGTTGGATGGTGGATCTCGTAGGTGGCCGGCATATTGGTGGTAGTCAATTATGTCCATCAAAATGAATATAGAAACAAAAGACGGTGTAATGGCATTGACAATGATTTTTGGACATCTAAATTAAAATAATAAACCAATGATTGTAGTTGCGACCTATGTAGCACCGATACTGATACGGGACACATGACACGACACAACACTCTGACATGTTAATTTTAAAAAATATTAGATTTCGACACGTTAGGACACGTATTGATATTAAATTATTTTTAATTTATGTAGTTTATATTATATTTAATATTTAATAATTTAATAAAAAAAATGAAGTTAAACTTGTAATACTCATCAATTTTGCAAAGAAACACAAGATATCTCAAATATTTATATTAAACTCAATAAAATGGTAATCATAATCCAACGAATCTAATAGTTGGAACTAAAAACGCAACGCAACGTAACCTTTGAACTATTTTTTGAGTTTCTACAACGCGTGTTGGAGTGTCAGAGAGTGTCGGAGTGTCGGAGAGTGTCGAGAAATGTCGGACATGACACGTCAGAGTTTTTGAAGTGTTGGTGCTTCATAGGTTGCAACTTGTTTCAAGTGTTGGTTATTTCCTCATTCAGTGTGCTTCATTTTATAAAGAAATAATTCTGAATTCTCTTGACTAATCTTTCTATCAATGAAAAAGTATTAAATGCTTCTTTATTGAATATTAAAAGAATATTTTAGGAGAATATTACGAAATTCTCCTAGTGGAGATGGCTCTCATTCTCGCCTTTTTTTGTCAGTGTTTAAAAATCTGGCCCGACCATTGACCCGGCCAAGGTCAGGGGTCACGGGTTTAACCGGAGGGTCACATGATCACTTTGCTGACCCAATTTTATATATTAAAAAAATAAATATATATTCTATATGAAAAATTCAAAAAAATCAAACAACCAATCATTAAAGATTCAAAATATACTTAACATAATTCAACCAATTACATCTACAAATCAATATTCACAAGTTAATCAAACTATCAAAGTATAAAGCATATATTTCAAAGGAGTTAATGAAAAGTTATATCATCAAACTCAGGCCCTTCTTGTTCTTCTCATGCACCTACAATAGTATGTGAAAGGAGATCTCTTACCCAATAGATAATAGCGGAGGAAAGGCGACGACACGACAAATTAACGGTTGGAAAAGAAGAACCAGCACGGTGGAGGAGATCACCGGAACAAGAAGACTGAGTCTGAGTCAGGGAGAGAAGATCGAAAGAGAAGAAGAGGAACGATTCAGATTTCAGATGTAGTTCTAAATCTTGAAAATCCATATACTCATAGTGTTACAAGTTGTATATCCACACTTTGAGAGTGTATATTCATTTCTAAATATTTTTCTCCTTGTATTCTTGAGTTGAAAGGGTTGTGAGACCCATTGTTTGAGAGGTAGCCAAATACCTAAGTAAATTTAGAGTGAATCGTAAGGTTGTCAAGTACCTGTAAACTTGGAGATTGTGGTATCCAAGAACCCGAAGTCTTGGAAGATTGTAAAGGTTTGTCAAACACCCGTGAAGCTTGACCATTAATGAAAGAGTTGATCGAGCAGCTTCAGTCTGGACGTAGGTCACAAGTGGTGATGACCGAACCAGGATATATTGTGTTTACAATTCTCTAAACTCTAAACTCTTTATTTCTAGCATTTTAATTTCTTCTTTGATATCTTGTATGTGCTAGAATAAGTTCTATAATTGTGATATATTATATATTATGGATTGTTTGAATATATTGATTAGCTTTTCACATATCAAAGTTTGCTTGAAATAATTATTTAGAAACTAGAAGGAGACTTTTGCAAAAATCTTATAATACTCAATTCACCCCCTCCTGAGTATGGAAGCCACATTACTAACAATTTTTTCACGCACCTTTTGCTTTTTCACTATAGTTGCTCTCGGGAATGGTGCTTTTGCGACTCATCGTGATAAAATCTTCATTTGATGACATCTTTTAATAATAAAACTCAACAAAGATAATAACATTAAATTTTAACTTTTATTAAAAAATTTGTTTACGTTTTTACTTGTATATTTGTGTACAAATATTATTTTATTAAAAAAAATTGAAAATTAAAAAATTTATATTTTGTATAAAATATTTTATGAAAGCGTTATATATTTATTTGTTAAAATAATTTTGAAGGTATTAAATACAATAAAAAATTAAGTTTTTTTTAAATTAAATTTTTAAATAGTTCACGAATTGCTCTAACCCATAAGGCTTTTGACTATGCGTACCTTTATTATTAGAAGTCATTTGACTCTATAGACATTTTGGCCCCAATTAACACGTGTTAGAATCTAATGGGGCGAGTTGACCATTTTAACATCTCTAAATTAGCTTATCTCAATGTCTTGAAGATTTTCTTAAATATGGATGACAATTTGTTTATAGAAAAATTCCAACTTATGCACGTTGGTCGTATGTAGTTTGAACTCATCGGTTGATTGGCATTTGCAATGTCAATAGTCCGAGCTCGTCAAAGTTTTAGTACTCCAATGATTAATCTCATATCTAATTTTTTTTAATAAAAAGCATCATATTATATACACATAAATTAAGTTAATTTAAACTCATTCTTGATGGCTATTTTATTGATTGATGAAATCTGGTAACTGGGGGCGGACTGCTACATTGTCATTATGGGAAGCGACTACACCTTCAAGTGTGACCAGAAAATTAAATGACATAACATTATATCATTTTAAGAGAGAGATAGACACAGAATAAAATTTTTTATTTAAATTTTAAATTAAAAAAAACCATCTACTTTCTCTCTCCCATGATTTCTATTTTCTATGTCTATCTCTCTCCTAAAATGACATAACTTATTTCATTTAAAATGACAAACACCAAGTCAAAATATTAAATATTAGAGTAAATACCCTTTTTCGTTTCTGACAATATTCATGAAGCCTCTTTTAGTCCCCAACAATAAAAAAGGCTCATTTTGGTCCTTAATTTTAGAAAAATAGTGCCACGTTAGTCCTTCTGTTAGTTGAGCTATGACGGTGTCACTAACGTGTCTGACGTGTACTGTTAAGTCACTGACTCACATTCCACGTAGGACCAAAAACGACATCGTTGAGGTACCTTCAATTTTTTTTTTTCTTCTTCTCTCCCGCTTGAAGTTTATCTGGAGATTACAACGCTAAGACCTTCCCTCACTTTCACAATTTGCTTCTTCTCTCCCACGTCGTTGAGGTACCCTGTTGTGAATGACCAAAGCTTTTGACGGAGTCTCCATACCATAGTCTCCGTTGGACAAATCGAAAGCCCTAGCACTAGCGTCCATTTCACAGAATGTGTGGTCAATGACGATGAAGATGGTGCTTCGGAGGAAAATTGAAATGTGGGTCACGAAATTGGCCAGGTTAGGGTTTGGATTTGAATAGAAAGTGAATTTTTTCGCAAAAATGGGAAAGCTTAGCGTTGTATTGTGTTGCTCCCACTCTCTGCTTTTGCAGTGGCAACGGTTAGAAGAAGAGGGTGACAACGAGCAATGAAACCAAGGAGGTACAGAAATACTGTAAACCAAAGGTGATCTGGTCTGGGAAATTTGAAAAGTACACAAAGATTCCATCTTTTGATTCATTGGAGTAGAACCCTGATGCTAGGTAGTTGCATATATGTGCAAATGAGACTATTCATGGTGTTGAGTTTAAGGATTACCCAACACCCAAAAATGCAAGTGGCATTTTGGTTGCTGATATGTCTTCAAATTTTTGTTCCAAGCCTGTTGATGTGTCCAAATTTGGGGTGATCTATGCTGGGGTTCAGAAGAATGTGGGGCCCTCTGGTGTAACCATTGTGATAATCAGAAAGGATTTGATTGGGAATGCTCAGCCAATGACTCCTATGATGCTTGATTTTAAGATACATGATGAGAACAATTCACTTTACAATACCCTTCCTTGTTATTGTATTTACATGTGTGGTTTGGTGTTTGAGGACCTTTTGGAACAAGGTGGTTTGAAGAAGGTTGAGAAGAAGAACAAGAAGAAAGCTGAGATTCTCTACAATGCCATTGATGAAAGCAATGGCTTTTTTAGATGCCCGGTTGAAAAGTCATTGAGGTCTTTGATGAATGTGCCATTTACTTTGGTGAAACTAGAATTGGAGGCTGAGTTCATTAAGGAGGCTGCTAAGGAAAAGATAGTTCAGCTTAAGGGACATAGGTCGGTGGGAGGTATGAGAGCTTCCATTTACAATGATATGCCTTTGGGTGGGGTTGAGAAGTTGGTGGCTTTCATGAAGGATTTCCAGGCCAAGCATGCTTAGAGGAGGATCCTATGTCTGCTAGAAATACTTGGATAATCGTAGTGGTTTCAACTTGGGTGTACTAATTTAATCTCATCATTAGTGCATCATAGTTAGGTACACTACTTTTGTGCAAGCATTTCTCTGTTATGCATAAAGTGTCACTATGATTCCAAAGAATCTCTGACAGTTTTTGCTTTCTTTAGTTAATTAGGCTCAGGTTGTCTCCTTTTCACCTTTTTAGTGCCATGTTTGATATTCAAATTTGGGTCGGCAGGTTGTGTTTTCATTACACTTACCATTGTCGACTGGAAGTGAACTAGTTTAGGTTCGATTTATTGGTATGTCCTCAATTACAAGTTTGTAAGGTTTGAGTCCAATGTGATATTTTACTGGATGTAACATGGTATATTTGCAATAATAAAATGAGGATGAGACATATTGAGTTATTGTGGAACTACAAATACCTTGATTTATTGTGGAACTACAAATACCTAGCTTTGGTTTACATGTACTCTAAATTCTTTGATTTCATGTCCCTGTTTTTCTTTAGTTAGGGACAAAAAAAGGCCCCGTGATTTTTGTCAGGGACCAATAAGGGCGTTGGAAATTCACGGTGGACCACTCAAATCCGCGTCAGCAAACTAACGTGCCAAGTGTGCACCGTTAGTTGAGCCGTTAGATGAGATTTAACAGAATGACTAACGTGGCCTGTTTTTTGTAATTTAAGGGACCACTATGTCCTTTTTTTATTGCTAGGGACCAATAAGTAGTTCATGGATATTGTCAGAGACCAAAAAGAGTATTTACTCTAGATATTATAACCATTTGTAACCCCGAAGAATTTTCTCCAGTTGCGCTTCCGCTGTTATTAGCCGATTTGTGCAAAACATCAAAAGGGGTCAAAACTTAATAAGCACGTTTTATTAATCTCTTTCTTTTCCATATTTTTTGTCTTTTTTGTTGCAAAACATTTTTAATACTGGGGAGATTTTCTACTGTGTAGTTTAGTGGACTCTGTTATTTAATTTTTATGGAGTTTAAAAGAAATCTTATTATTTAGCCTCAGCAGAATTACTAGTAGCACACTCTTTAGTATGAGAAAGGATCCATTTTTTTACACTCTTTTCAACACTTCATTTAGTATTGAATGAATTTCCATTCTGGTCTCACTAATGAAAAATGTTTAAGAAAGAATGTCTAAAATGTTTAAAAAATGCTTAATTCTTTTTTTTTGCTTCGGTAAACAAGCCCAAGTCTTTTTTAATAGAACTAGCATGAGATTTTACTTAATAGTAATAAAAATGTTTAAGAAAGAATGTCTAAAAAATTATGTTCATTGCACTCCTTTTATCTTTGATAAAGCCTGATTACTGCTCATTCTGTTTGTGAACATCTATTGCTTCATTCAGTAGAGGAAACAGAAACAGAAAGTGCCTGTCAATGTTTCACCAACGCTATGAACTATGAGCTTCTATCAGCTATTCGCACAAAAATTAGGGATTTTGGTGAGGTATCAAATATTCAATGATCACAAGATCATGAGTTCAATTCTTACCGCCTCCTCAATTTGTGAAAATAAATAAGCATAAAGTAAATAAAAATAAAAATTGGGTATCTGCAATATTCACGTTTGGGCTCTTGCGTAAGGAGGTGTATTAGAGAATAATATATATCATTAAAAATGCCTTCACATAATTTCTTAAGGTTTTGGGTTAAAATAGTTCTTTACATAATCAGAAATAAATTCACCATATGTTGTCACACGAGTTCGGTCCTCACCACCCTCCACTTATCGAATTAAATAAGCATAAGGTAAAAAAAAAAAAAAAAACGAAGTCTATATAATATCCACGTTTCAAATCCAAAGACTCTTAGATGAGAAGGGTGTCACAGAATAATATAAACAAAGGACTTCATCAAATACCTTAAAATATTAGGTTCAAATAATTCTTTATAAGTATCGTCTATAAACTAAGCTGCCATGACTTGAGCAATGACTGCGCTGACCCGCGAACTCCTTTTTAGGATTGGTTGAAATTGGGATTGTAATAAACATTGAGGGATCACTGATCTGCTCATACAGTGCCACTTAAAATTCAAGCATTCACAACCATAAAAATACCAAGGAAAAGAGTTACTATCACTGAAATTTAAAGCAGAAAATGACAGAAAAATATGTACACAAGTAGAATTAATGACTGCCGTATCTGGTATTGAAAATGAAACAGACACAAAAACAGATGTCTGGCAGGTTTTACAGATAAGAAACACATTGTATAAAATTTGAACAATTTATTATCTTCCCAGTTGCATACGACAATTGTCAATTGCACTTTCACAGCTTTGCATACTTCTTGAGAATTTCACTATTAGCCTTTGCATGCTCAGGCATAGGAATATTGACTATAATAGTAACTCTAGAAGATGATACCAAGATTTTGTCCTTTGACTTTGAAGGATCATTCTTCCAAAGCTGCACCTCCCACACCTACTAGAAAATAAAGAAAAAAAAAATCAAAATTGAAAAATTGAAGCCACTACTAGACTAGTAACTTGTAATCACCTAGAGTGTGATTCAAAAAATCCAAAAGATGAACATTGGATTAGAGAAAACCTGAATGGTTTTGCCAAGATTGATAGGAGTAGCTTCAGCAAAAACAAGGTCACCCAATTGAGCAGGTTTCATATGGTTGATACTAAGTTGAATACCTGCTATCCTGTTATAACCACAGGCCATGTGGGCCCCAATACTTGCAAGAGCTTCTGCTATCAAAGCTGATACCCCACCATGTAAAACCTTGAATCCCTGTTCAGTTTTTGCACGATTAATCACATTAATGTTTTAATCAATTAAGATAAGGGGATCATGTATTTTCTGATTCGACATACAAAAAAAATGGATGGAACTCACTGGGAAGAAGAGAAAGAAAATAAATGAATTTTGTTCACTTTTTAATATTTTGTATCATACAACCTCATAAACAAATCAGCATCATCTTTAGATGTTACGGGAAAATTAAAAGAAGAAACTTTGCAAAAAAAAATGTAAAATAGTGCTGACCTGACAACTTTTCAGGGTAACAGGTAAACGACCAGTGACCCTGTGGGGTGATAAGTCATCAATCTCGAACCCAATTGCGTGAAGGGGAGCATCTAGAAATGCTGTCTTCGTTGCTGCTGCCGACAACGTTTGATCCTCCATGAATGGATCTCGAAGATACCGTGTGGAGGCTATGGATTTCTTTGAGAATTTATAGCCTTTCCCTAATTTATTTGTTTGGTCACCTTGGTGATTCTTTTGTTTGTTTTTGTTTTTGTTTTTGTTTTTGGTAATATGTTTGTTTGTTAATCACTTCTTTTTTGTTGCTTTAGAAAATTTGAAGCTTTAAAAATTGAATATTGTTTTTTAGGTTTTAGTATTTGAGATAGATTATATTCATAATTTTTTTTTATAAACTATATTAAGTTGTAAATTTATAAAAAAAAAAATCGTCAATGTAAGCCTTTCCTTAGTAATTTATATGCCAAACTGCATATAAAGTTATCTTTTATGAAAGTCGGTGAGATTCCATGAAAAATATTATTGGCTTGATAAAAATTGATTTTTTTTTATTTAAGAAAATGAATCCATTGTCTGAAATATAAATTGACATAAATAAAAAAATAATTCTTTAACACATCATCTATTAAAATTATTAATATTTCTCTTATAATATGAGATAAAATTATTTTTTGCAAATTCAAAATAAAATGATTTTGCAATTTGAAAAAAAAAAGATTTTTATTAAACTTCATAAAACAAAAGGAAAAAAAATTCAAAACACCTTATTTTTTTTTTTCAAAACCAAAACGACGTTATAAGAAATATTTTTATCTCGAATACTTTTTTATTAAATAAACATTTTATATTGTAAATTGAGTTATCATTTACGTACGTTAAATATATATTATTAACTAAAAATATACTTTCTTTCTTTTTGGATATAAAAATAATTATATAATCAAACATAACCTTTTTTAAAAAATTCTTCCGCGAAAATAAAAATTTGAAGATAGGAGTTGTCTCAGAGATACATAAGTTGCACATGGCAAAAAGGCCGAAATTGTAATGTCGAAAACAAGAAGACGGTCGTGGGTAATTATCACGAACTTCAAGAAAGGTAATTCAAATTTTCTAACTTCATCTTTGAAATTAACGTGTGATAGATTCGATTAAGTGCTTGGAATGTCCTTTTTTTTTATAAGTACAAATTAAACCAAATAAGTTTTTATAAAAAAATTTATAATAAAAGGAACTATTTTTTTTTTTTTTTATAAGGAAGAAAAAATCAAAAGCTCCTACGTGGTATAGGAGCTTTTTTTAAGTTTTCAATTTTTTTTTTAAATAAACAATTTTTAAATAGCTTTTAAGTTATAAATTTTATAGAATAACCAAAAAAAAATTAATTTAATTTTTTTTAAAAATTTAGCTTTAATTTAAAAATAATTTTTAACTTAAAAAGAGGGGTCGCAAACAAACTCTAATATTGTGAAGTTTTTTTTTTTTTTTTTTTTATTTCTCGAGGTATCCTCTGGCCGACATTCGAAGAGTAATTCTTTCGAGGCGGGAGATCACATTAAGTGGGTAAATCTCTTTCAACAAAGCATTTTTCATACTCACGGTCAGAAATCGAACCCCTGTCAGCATAACTAAGAAACCTAGTTATCTACCAACTGTGCTGAGCTTTATTGATTATTGTGAAGTATTTCATTAAAGAATAATTTGACCAAATAAGTTCATTATTTAATGCACATCAATCCTAGTACATAGACAAAAAGAAAATTAAAAATATAAAAACTAACGGCAAGGTGTTTTTGGTAAATCTTGCATTCAGAGAATCATAGGAATCATTTTGTCGATTTAATTACATGAATTCGCTTTTTAATAGTTATCTGCAGTAAGTCCAATACGATATTATTTTGGGTAGAAATTATGGTATTTTTGTAATTTTAATTTATTTCAAGGTTATAATAGTATTTATATTTATAATTTTTTAAGATTTCAATATCATAATGATGTCATTTTGAAAAAAAAAATGCAGATAACTTATCTGCAGTAACTCTGCAAAAACATTTTTTCCTAATTACATATGCTCCATATAATTTTTGGTGTTGTCACATTGAGCATGTGGGTATTCATTCATTAGATTGAATCAAATTGATTTTGCTGGGAAAAGCCAACTAACACCAATCTAATTGGCTTTTCTTAATATTATTCAATCGATTTAACTGAAAATATAAATCCAAATATCTTAAATTTTTTGCTAGAATTATTTTAATATATAAATTCATTAAAATATAGAAATCAAATTTTATTATAATATATCAAATATAAGTCTTCATTCTACATCAAAATACACTAAATACAAGTTCAAATAAACTCACCATAACATAAATTTAAATTCTAAATATCATTCCAACTTAATTTCCAATCTTTTAATATAGGTACGAATTCAAGCGAGAAAATTAAGTTTGGCTTGAGATATAATAAGAAATTTTAATTAATATAAATAATATGAAATTCTATTAATTAAAATATCACACACACGCATATATATGTGGATGAATCCGTTTACAATTTTTTTTTATAAACTTACAAATTACATTATATATGACCTGTCAGACATCAATAAAGATTGTAATTAAACAAAAAGTTTGTAAATATAACTTTCCTATATATATATATATATATATATATATATATATATATATATATATAGATAGAGACACATGCACAAAATTTCAGTTTCTTTTGGATTAACTCAACTTTTAAATTTTGATTTGAAAATCCATTAAATCTAATTAATTTTTTATTATTTAGATTTTTTTCATTTTTATTTTTTAGCGACTCAATTTTCTAAATCTTAATCATATTGATTTGGTTTTAAATACCTCTAATATTTAATCCATATTTGTTACATCATCCTTCTTGTAATTTAAAAGGGTAAAATTTTTATACCAAAAAGAAAAAAGAGTAAAATTTTATTTTCCGTCCATGACTAGTTATTATTAATTTAGTTCTTTAGAGATTAATGCTATCAATTCAATCACTTACGGTTGAAGAGAATAAAATATCGAGAATTTGAATTTGATGTTAAGAATCAAATTAGCATTATTTGTTAAGAATTAAAATGGAATATACTTTTAAAATAACACAAAACTATTAGTTTGTTGATTAAACTAATGTGGATTTAGAAGTATATATCTCTCAAAGGATGTAGTATATATGTTTATATGGAGGTGATCAAAGTAATAATCTTATGAAATAGAGGTGGTATTTTATCTGAGGTAACTCTAAATTCGAATAGAGTAACAATTTATAAAAATATGTAAACTTATTTGTTTTATTTATGTAAAATATTTCCTAATGATAAGAGATAGAGGAAAAAAAGTGAGCCGAAAATTGTTAATCTTGCCTACATTATCACAGTGTAACATTACCTTACTATTATATGCTATGAAGCACCGACACTTTAAAAATTTTGACGTGTCGTATCTGACACTTCCCGACACTCATCGACACTCCGACACTTCACTACTTGTTGCAAAGACTCAAAAAAGATTTAAAGGTTACGTTGCGTTGCATTTTGAGTTCCTACTATTAGATTTGTTAGATTATGATTACGATTTTATTGAGTTTAATATATACTTTTGGGATATATTATGTTTCTTTGCAAAATTGATGTGTATTATAAGTTTAACTTTATTTTTTTGTTAAATTATTGAATACTAAATATAATATACACTACATAAATTAAAAATATTATATAATATCAAAACGTATCCTAACGTGTCAAAATTTAACATTTTTTAGAATTAACGTGTCGGAGTATCGTGTCGTATCTCATGTCCCGTGTCGGTGTCGGTGCAACATAGATTATATGTGTACGATGCTGAAAGTGAGAGAAAAATTTCCTATGACAAAGCTCTATTGTTCACTATGTGGTGTTATCTAAAAGGGAAAATTGTGTATCACTTTAAATGACACAAAGTTATGTCATTTTAAGTGAGAGAAAAAGATAAATTATGGGAGAAAAAATAGAAAAAAAAACTTTTTACAAATATGATCAGTCCCATCTTTTATGAGAGTTAAAGAATATAAGGTGTGTCATTGAAAATAACACACTTTTTTCCCTATCTAAAATGTCCTTGTGCAGGCCAGCAGAGCATTAATAAATTCTTATGATAGGCAGACAACATTTTTACCTTGATGTATAAGATTGGATAAGCTTTATTATAAATGCATTTATCCGTTACACATGTTAATTATTAAATATAGTTTTTATGATATTCGTTGTTAAAATTTTTCAAGTTTGTAACGCTTCTGCTGTCAAGACTCTCTTATTCTATCGGCCAAGAGACTGAAAGGAAAACACCACATATAGATGCTACATCGAAAACATCCAACGCCAAAAATCATAGAAGCTACCTCGAAAACATCCAAGGCAACAAGATCTGACTAAAATAATCAAATTTATTTAAGTGTTTGGCTATACACGAAAAATTTATGTAGCTTATCCAAAACTTTTGGATGTTTGATAGAGAATACATTTTTTCATACCGAGAAATATTATTTTCAAAAATATAGTGGGAAAATCATTTTTTTGTGAATGTTATAAAAAAGTTGTTTGATATATCAAAATATTACTGAAATTTTGTCTCAAAAAAAATATAAAATTTTTTCGACAAATAAAATTTCAAGAATACCATTCTTTTGAGGGTATTTTTGGATGATATTTTGAAAGAAAAATTGTACACAAAGGAAAAATCAGATTCCAGATAAAATTTTCATAAACCTTATACCAAATGTAGGTAAATAAAATTTACACTATCACTTTCTTGGAAATTTCAAAAAATCCGCCCTTGCAAACTCTTTAAGTTTTCTGGCTTATACATGAAAAATGTTTTTTTAGCTAAGTTTTGCATTAATATATCCTAAATTTCTCGTCAAAGATGTACTAACCCAATGTTTAAAACTAAATAGTTATTCGAATCTATAGAAATATTAGCGATTTGAATTCTATTATTTGACGTTGATAAGATTGACATAATTTGTTTCTTAATGTTAAACTTTAAGGAAAAGGTTATCAATATATAGTTCACTCGAGATTCACTTGTCAATTTGGTTCTTAATTTAAATATTTTGACATCAACCTCAAAATA